GAAAGGAGAAGATAATGCACAATGGTATGCCAGATCTACACTAGATCGTTGCTAGAGCTAGGGGGCGTAATAAATACTAGTAGTCAGCAATGGGCCCAAAACTCAGAGGGATAGAAAACCAAGATGGCAAGGTTCATGGGAGGCCAGTTTCGCCTTCCCGCCGCGGAGAAAATGCATGCCGTATGTCCATTGCATATGTAGTACGGTGCTAGCTGACTAGTCGTTTGGCACGCGTAACTATGACGATTTAGCTGCTGACCGTGCTTGCCATATTACTACCTTGTTCGCTTGGGAGGGGCAATCCGATATCCAGGTCAAAGAGAGCCGGCTCGAGGTCAGCCATGCCCCAAGAAAGCTGCCCAAACCAGCGTCGCCGAAGCTGAGATGCAGGTAGCGTTTTCAAAGGCGAGAATTCTTCGACAGTTCGGGGGAACTCTTTACATTTATTAGTTCCTCTAAGACTTTGCTTTGCAAGGCGATGACCCCAGACTCCGAAACCGGTGGCGAAGGAGCGAACGTCCTGTAGCCAGCCACTTGACGGCACAGCAGACGCACAAGACGAATATCAAGATTCTAATACCCCTTACAGTAAAAATTATCAGCCAAACAATACTCGTTTTGTCCAAATAGTCATTCGCTCACGTGCATCATCCAATGAATTACAAGCAGACTGTTTGGAAGTTATAGAATTGAAAACGCACCGAGCGGTTGCGTTCGTTCAAGATATCACATTTGATTTCTCCACACATTCCACACATACGGTAGCAATTGGGAGCGCGCATTATTCTCCTCGACCGACAGCGTTTGCCTGCCTGTAACTATTCATCGTCCACACCGATATTCTCCTTAAACTTCTTGCCCGGCTTCTTTATTATACCACCATCTGCTGCTTTGGAATATGCCTTCTCGTAGTCACTATCATCACCCAGCGCTGCAACAACACACATGAAATCTTGACGTATGGGAAAGAAGAGAAGCAATCACAATAATAAGGTGAGCTCGAAGTTGATCAAACCATGAATGCGCTTTTTGTTGTTGTTTTGTTTTTGTATAGTTTTGAGACACATACCTATAAGTTCGTGCAGGTCAGTACTCATTGCATCTGCGTAGTTAACCATTGCGTAGGCGAACTCTTCTCGATCTAGGGATTGATCGCCATTTGCATCCTCCGCCATGAGCGCCATGGCTGCCTTTTCGACATCCTCCGCGCTTTGATCTCCATTGCATGCCGATTGATACCTTCGCAGTCCAGTGACAAGCTCCTCAAAGTCGATGGTCCCGTCGCCATTGGCATCCCACAGATCGAACAGACGAGTCGTTCTCCGGTAAGACAGGGCGTCCATGACCTTTTTGTGTTCCTTTTCTTCTCTTTCGCGATCTCTTGCTTGTGCGTAGGCTTCGTCGGCAATGGTCAGCTCTCGCAGTACTTCCTCGTCTAATTCAGCATCCTCGGAAGTGAGCGCTAATGTCAAATCGTCGGCCACTTCGTCAAAGGAGGAGTTGGCCGCAGCGGCAATGGCCAAGATGAGTTTTGCGAATTGTTCATATCCTAGGACTCTCTTATCATCCTTGTCCATCATCAGTAGCAGTCCCGTAGTGGCTTTGGCGGACTCTTCCATGGACTTGGTAAGATGATACAACCCACAAGCCACCTCCTTAAAGTCCACTGTAGAATCACCGTCCTTATCAAACAGCACAAAGAGTGACATCATTCGTGGGTCACTGAGGGTATCCAGCAGTTGCCCTCTTTCTCTGACTTCCTCCTTGAGCTTGTCGATATCCACATCCTCTTCCTCTTCTTTGTCGTCCTTCTCCGAGAAAAGAATCTGGTAGACGAGGAACTCTGCAAACTCATCAAAGGTAGCATTGAGCTCTGAGACCATTCGTTCGACAAAGTGTTGGAATTCATTCCTATTCAGCTCTGCATCGCCATCATCGTCGTAAATGGCAATCATTTCGATGGACTTTTGGATACTATCAGTAAACGACAGGCCATCATTTCTCTTTCTCAATCCGTCGGCAAGTTCTTTGGCATCAATGGTACCATCTCCATCCTTATCGAGCAGAGTGTATAGAAGATCCAGCTTTTCCTCTTCATTCATCTTGGTCAGTTCATTGACCATATCCAACTGTGCCTGGATGGCAGCCATTTGAAGCTCTAGATTCTTTTTTGTCTGCAACACAAACTGACTGACATTGGAGGAATTGGCAGCTTTCTTTTTCCGACTGGACGCTGCTTGCATGGTGGCGGTGGTCTTTCGTGCCGCTTGGGAAGCCTTACTGCTGTTGGTTCGGTGTCGTTTGGCCTGTTCGAGTCCGCTCTTGAGCGCTTCTTCATCGGGACAGTACTTGAGTCCATACTTGTATGCCTTGACCTCTTCGGAATATCGCTTCAAGGCGTGCAATGCGGTGGCTTTTCGAGCATGGCCCTTGTGGTACTTGGGCTTGAGTTTGATGCACTTGTCCGCGTCTTTGAGGGCTTCTTCTGGATTCCCCAGCTTGAGCCAGGCAGCAGAGCGATTGGCGTAGCAGACAAAGTTCTTTTCATCTAGCTTAATGGCTCGACCGTAATACTTGACGGCATCTTCCCACTTGCCATTCTTGAAGGCAGCGTTTCCTTTGTTCTTGTTCTGGAAGTCAGTAATCGATGGGGAGATGGACAGAGTTAGGGTTGGAGGTTACCCAAGAGAGCATCCCGACAGCGCCATGGGTATCTTTTTCGCCTCAGCTACTATGCTAAACTTACTTCTTTGGCTGTGGCGCCCATGGTCGACGTCTATAATAAGGGTAACAAACAATATTCTCGTCGCTATCCTGAGTCCTACAACGCCACTGACAACTCAAAGGCTGGCTAGATAAGGTTGCCGTTGCCAATCGAATTAACGAAACTACAGAGACGAACTCGAAAGATCACTGATTGTCGGCTGTGATAACACTACAAGAAATCTTTCCTTGGTGTTGGATACGTTTGGGTATACGATCCTGGATGGGGTGGGTAAGCTTGTCAGAAGACGACAACAGACGGCTAGTTCTGCTGCTGTCCCTTCCTGTTCTCTTTGCTTGGTCGTTGATCGACGGTGCCTTTGATGCCTCGATCGATGTCTCTTCTGCTTGTCATCCTTTTCCCACGAGTTCAGCAGCCACTCGTTGATGCTCACTTTTGGCAGCAAGTCACTTTTTAGGCTGGAAAATGACTCTTGGAGTCACAATGGAGGGACGCCAGCAGATAATAACCCCATGTTAGGGATATTATGTTCCAGTCCAACCGAACAAACAACTCCCGCACCACCGGTACCGGTACGGCCAATCCAACTTCACTATCTAGATAGCTAGCTAGCTCCGGTAGCCAGGTACACTGTACCGGTAGAGGAGAACTGCTAGCTAGGAGTCTACTGTAGCCAATGTTAGCTATAGGTAGCTGGAGCCAGCTGGAGCCAGCTGTAGCCAATTTGATTCATCATTCTCTTTTTTCGTGTGGCGCCTCGATGCGGTTGCCCTAGCGGGCTGTTTACAAGGCCCTAGCGGGCTGTTTAGTTCATTTATTTTCAGTGTTGAAGCCATATTTATCAGGCTAAGCAATTAAGATTTGTGTTGGCCCATTTTCTTCTTTGATTTCCTCTATTGCTACATGAGTTGATCTTTGTGGGGTGATTATGTCGCGTGCTACGGGTAGCTAGGGCTGTGATGGACCCCTCAATAATTGGCGTCCTTCTTGGGTCCCTGCACATGTGAGTGGGGATGGAGAAATCCATATCTTGCTTCATCGGTTTCCTCGGCCAAGTGTAGGTGTAAAAGTTGACATCATGAGGTTCCAAAGATACGTCATCCAATATCAGCTCCTGAGTGGAATCCTCACAAGCAAAGGTGACAGTGTCATGAGCTTCCAAATGATAGAATGCCATCCCATCCCTTTCACTGATTGGGAACCTCACAATCTCCACTAGATCAATGGGAGTAGATCCCTGATAGGCCAAGATTCCTGCCATTTTGGAATGTCACAATCTCTGTAGGAAGGCCCATCTGTCGCCCCTTTTACAATGGCATTCGTGGTGCCACTCACCGGATGCGATGGAGTAGTACCGTACTAATGATTAAATCATTGAAGAATCATCCATAATAGGTGCCAAACAAGACAAGTTGTGTAGAGGTATGAAAATATCGTCATCATCAGGGCCATTGCTGATACACTCCAATACAGAATTTGTTTGCCACGGCCTGGTTGTCGTTCAGCAAGGTATCCCATCTGGACACAAAAATGCAACTTTGTCGCCATCCCCTAAATAAAATCGATTGTTGGAGTCATACGGAATAGATGCGAGAACTCTATTGGCTTCAATAGCAAGAGTAGAGTAGTAGCAGCCCATGTTGTATTGGTACGAGCGAGGTTTCTTGACGTTCTGACATTGATGAGAGTTCTTTTAGCTAGGCCAGCTAGAATTTGTGGGAGAGTTACTTTGCATTGATGATCATGAGATTAGATGGCCCAACGTATGCGGGTATCAAATAGGCACAGGTTGCCTGGAAAGGTTCTGGGTTCCACTAAGTCGACCTAAGGGTGGCTGGTTGTCCAGCAAAACAGCACGACAGCAGCGATAGCTACCGGGACAGTACTACAAGTGACCGTAAAGTGATGAGACAGGTGCAGTGGGAGGAGCTCGCGGTGCAACTCAGTACCAGTACTCTATTGACGAGGATGCTGACTTAACAAAGCCTAGCCAACGGTACAGAACCGGTCCGTATATGTGACGAGAGCACGAGCGCACCCTTGGAGCTTGGATGCAGCCATGGATAGCAGTAGCACGGAGATCTTGTGCACTGGAGTACTTTTGCTGGGCCCGTCTTTGATAAACGCAGGCATCCTAGCTACATCACGGTAGCTAGCAGATGTCGTCGACTTGCTCAATTCCGCAAGCGCAGTAAATCTACATCCAAAACAACGACCCCCGCAAGGTCTTGGCCCAATGCTGCTCGTTCCCGTTCAATGCGGACCGAGTTCATGACTGTGGTGTAGAGCCGTTGTCGATTGCCAAAATCTCGAGGAATGGGTTCTAATTGCTTGGATGTGTAGCCAACCGCAGAGGGAATCACAATGCGACGCCTGTCTCCTGGTCTCATCCCAATCAGCCCTTCCTCCAGTCCTCGAATGACAGTACCAGTGCCCAAATCCAATCGAAAAGGATCTTCTCCCGCGGCTTGAGAGTCTTCAAATATCCAACCCTGCTTGCCTAGCAGTCGACCTGTTACATGAATGTTCACCTTGGAATTGGCCGTCACTACAGAATCGATGTCTCCTCTTGATGTCTTGAAGATATCGGCAACCCGCACACCCGAATCCAGAGTTTGAAAAGTCAATTTATTCCGAGCATCTGCTGCGTGTGCTGGAAGAGAAGATGGTGCAAACAGTCCCAACAACGCAAAGCAGGATCGGCGGGTCGTATCCGCTGTTGCTTCCGAAGATAGCCCTCGAAAAATTCTATGCGAACCAGCGATTGACGGATTGCTGCCACTTGGAAGCGACAACGCCCTCGTGTGACTTATTAACCAACACGAGCATATCAACAATCCTAACAAAGGTTGACGAAGCAACAAACAAGGAGGATAATTCATCTTCGGTGCCTGGCTACTGTCTACCAGATACGTACTCTGATCCTTGATCCAATCCGGCTGGATGGAGTGCTATTCTGGCCAGAATGGCTGGTGGAGTTTGGAGCTAGATTGTGTACTTTTCATGTTTACCTCGGCAGTCTTGCTGCCAGAGCCCTCAACCCCTTTAATTGTTTTTCCTGCTACGGTGGTCCCTGCAGGTATAAGGGTAGGGTTAGAATACAAATAAGTCAGCAAAAACTTAGCTAGGATGGTGCAAACCAGCTAAAGCAATTTACATCCATCCTAGTAGGGGGATCTGCTTCTACCAGGAAAAACTCTAAAGCCAGCGAAAGCTATATAACTAGTATTCTAGCTAGCTAGGGGTGTCTGGTTCTAGCTTGCTATGGGAATCTGCTTCTAGCTAGGGGGGATTTGCTTCTAGCTAGCTAAGCACAAGTTAAGCACTAGCTAAGCACTAGACGTGTCTGCTTCTAGTTAGCTAGCTATAGGGGTATCTGCTTCTACACTGAAACCTTTCTGCCGAGGTTACACAGCTCCGCTGGCTTAAAAATTAGAAAAATGACGAAAGTTCGCAGTATTGGATACTTGGTACTGGTAGCGCAAGTTGTGGAAAGTGGATGCGTATGGCTCAGCTACTGGCAACACTCTAAGAGGCTGCAGTTAGCAAGTATTTCGAGGGAGCCTTGAGAGTATCTTTGGCACAGAGGATCAGGAATCTTGCCAGTGACAGATGTGCCAGAGAGATCGAGGGAGGTCAGCTTGGTCAGCAGACCATACTCACTCGGGATGGAGCCGTTCACATCAATGTTTCCTGACACGTTGTAATTTTTTAATAGGGAAAGAGATCCAAGCTCTGATGGAAGGGCTCCATAGAACATGTTGTTGGCATTGTTCAAAGTCTTGAGATCTTGGCAATGGCCAATTTCGGTTGCCAAAGGATTTTGGTACAGGTTTCCAGAGTTGTCCAAATCCTCAAGATAGGGCAAGAAGTGATACATGCCCGGAGCACGCCCAAACAATCTGTTCCCATGTGTTCGCGTAACTTTCATCTTGAAGGAAGAAAACTCGCCTACCATCATACCATTGAATTGGTTTTCGGAAACATCATACACTTCAACTTCAGGTTGGTGAGACATAACTGGGATCAGGCCTTGCAAGTTGTTTTTTGAGATGTCGAAACGGCGCATTGTTGGGACCCAGTGAGTGATCAACTGAAAATGTCCATTGAGATTGTTTGCAGACATGTTGAACACAAGAAGCTCGTTGTCTTCATTGCACACTGGCAAGGCCTCCAAGCTCTCCAGCCCATACACATTGGCACTAGTTCCATGATTGAACCATTCGCATTCGCTGACGTTGTAGCTTAGCCAATGGTCGTTTCGAAACCAAGCTTGTCCATTGCTCATGTAGAAGAACGATACCATGTGGAATCGTTGCCACTGACGATTCAGGGAATACGTATGTAGGTGAGGGTCCTCTATCATCCAGAGATTGGCATAGTGTTGAGGACTCCCAATGACTTGCATGGCCTTGTAAATTGGTTTTGGCACAGTGTTTGTGTCTCCCAGAAAGGGCGGATGGACAACAAGCCAAAGGTTCTCCTTCGTTGTCCTCATCGCACGCACCTCCTCGTCATCTCCGAGGGATGGAAGCAATAACGCGGCAGCGAGCACAACCAAGGCAAGAACAATGACTAGGAGAATCAGAAGTAAAACCTTTGAAACTTGCCCGCATCGCCTGGACTGAGCTGGTGTCTTGACAATCAACTTGCCATCAACGACTTCGAGTCCCTCATCCAATGTCGAGAAAGTCGAGAATTGGCTGAAGCTTTCCATCAGTGATCCTTCGGGACGGCTCGAGCATTCAGTGCCGTCCTCAATGACTAAGTAAGCATCGTCCAACGCCACGTCTTGACCTGACAGTTGGTGTGAATCCTCGGGCGGGTCCTCTGCATCATCAAACTGATTCCGCTCATCGGGTTCATCATCCATGAGGTCCAAGGACAGTGAATTCCGTTGTCGTGCCTCACCCGTGTTCATTGCAAATACTCCTGGGATGGTTGCAACATTTCCCGCCTCTCCACCTCCATGCGAAGTGACCACAACAGGGGACGCTTCTGAATCATTTTGACTTGTGCGGCTAGTCGACAGCTTTTGGTCTGCGCACGTTGTTTCATATGTTTGCAGCTTGCATCCTGGGATGCATTGTCCATCCCGCCACTCCTCGCTACTATCACTCAGCCCCCCAATCATGGGATTCTTCTTTCCTTCGTCCTCACTGGTGGTACTCTTGGTTCTTAAGAAGTTTTTGTCTATCAGGCAAACTTCTTGCAAGACCTGTAGAGTTTCGTCGCACTCCTTCGTATCCCGCTTCCCTTGGTTTTCCTCTTCCGCACTCTCGCCCATGTTTGCAACCGTTTCGTCCACATTCGTTCTTGTGCCATCGGAGAAGGAAGCCTCGTCCAAGACTTGATGCAGGAATTTCAGGGTCTGATTGTCTTGAGGTTCGCTCTTCTCATTCATCTTCGCTGCTTGGTCAATTGTGTTGACCGAAGAAAGAGTTCGGCACTTTGAATGAAGTAATCGAACTGCAATGAGCAGAGCATGGATGACCCGACAAGGACTTCAAAAGTGCCAGCTTCTCGCTACAGCTAGCCTGGTGTGGTACGGTACTGTACCGGTATGAGACCACTTATGTCATGCTGGCTATGATAGTTGACGGCTATTGTTTCAAACAGGAAAGCTGCGTTGGACTTCTCGTGATCACTGGTGATTAAACTGGGTGGCGGAATAACGGGACTGGGCATCATTTGGTCCAGTAGAAGCCGTGGTTTTGATTTTCCAGAAACGTACCTCATTTTGATGTAAACATAAAATTGAAGCAATTTGGTTAAACTAAACTCTTCCTCCACATGTAATTCGATGAATTAACTTTTAAAAAATGTAAACAAACATGGTCGCTTTTTAGATCGATTTCCAATTTTTACAAAAGCTTTGTTGAAAATCACGGTAACAACTACAGTACCGTATCATAGGGATCACAGGTGGCCAGCGGGTTGGTACTGGGGAACGCAGAATGCGAACAGTCATTTTGAAAATCAGCTCATAATCAGCTCTTACTCCCACGACCGGCTCTTAATCAGCACTAAAAATAGGAGCTGGTTTCAAAATCAGCTCCTAATAGGAGCTGGTTAGGAGCTGGTTTGAAACCAGCTCCTAACCAGCACCAATTTTTTAAAACCAGCTCGTAAATTTTGAAACCAGCTCCTATTTTCAAAAACCAGCTTCTAAAACTACTAGTAAAGTACTAGCGATCAGCATAAACGGCCCGAAATCGCGATTTGCACCAAATTTCGGTTTATACTTGTGTTTCGATTTTGTATTTGCGTTTCAATTTTATATTTTTGATTCGGTCTTATATTTGGGTTTCAGATTGATTTCACTAGTAAATTAACATAATAATTTGGTTTCTGTTTTATACTTTGGTTTCGGTTTTATAATTTTATTTCGATTTTATATTTAGGTTTCGAATTGATCAATTTGCTTGGATTCAGAAAATTGTGATTTCCGGCTTTCCGGCCCTTTCGCTCATAAAGATTTGAAATCAGCTCCTAAATTTTGAAACAAGCTCTTAAAATTTCAAAATCAGCTCTTATTTCAAAAAGCTCTGAACCAGCTCCTAAATTAAGGAGCTGATTTCAAAATGAGCTCTTAAACAGCTCCAAATTCTGCGAATCAGCTGCTAATTAATGGTTGCCGAAAACAAGATTCACAAAGTCATTCTGGATTCCCCTGTTAGCGAATACGTATCCAACTCGCCTGAAGGCAAAACAAGGTGCAAGGTGGTTTCCTGAACTCTTTCGATGCTCGGACAGCCGCACTGTCCTGTGGACCGAAAGCATGACAGTCGCCTTCAATAATGAGAAGAACAAACTCTGCCACATGGATCATCAGCAATCAAATGAGGTGCCCAATTGTTGGTGGGAGGCAGCTCATGCATCGCCTAGAATCGAATCAAATCAAACTCGACACAGCAGTAGCCCTCCCTCCTCCCTACAAACTATGCTGGTCCTCTTGATCCTCCAATTTCGTCAGTGTGAGAGTACCACATTTAGTTGGAAACACATTCCGACCAGGACGGCTGCTTCACCACGCCGGATGACAGATGATGCATGTCGAGCGAGCTCCGCATAACCTGTCGAGCACCACCTGCTCAAGTTAGCTGGAAAGAAGGTCTTTACTCCAGTTGATAGTACCAACAAAATTGAAAGCAGCCTTGGTACTTGATGAGTGTCATGGAATCCCACCCTCTTCAGACTCGACTCAGTGGCTAAGCAATTGTACGATAGTGCCACTGGAAGTCTATGCATACTCGTAGGCAACAGTCACCTTGCTCGTTCTCACAAATTTGATAGGGCGGCGGGTGGGGAACATGACCTCTATGCCTATCTGTACCGCTAGGTTTCGGAGACCAGTAGATCCTACAGTACTGGTACCTGGATGGTTATTTTATTAATACCATCCGCGATTGTGATTCGAACGATCGAGATTCAATCTTCCGCCTCACCTTTCTTCATTTTTTCAGACCAGTTGCGGGTCAATCGTCATCCCTAGCTAGTCTATCATTGTTTGCCTACCCTAACACCATGAGCAGCCGCCGTTCGTCCAGGACATTGAATCTGTTGCAACAAGGCAGTAGTACACTGAGCAGCCGATCATCATCGACTTTGGCGGACGAGAATGCTGCGTGGAATTATCCGTCTGCCAGTGACGTTCCTGTTGGCAAATTCAATGGGTATCTCATTTGGGATCGTGATCCCACCTCGGACACTCTCAAGATCTTGTATACCTGTCTCACGGTCTTGGGTCTGCTGTACATGATATTTTCGGCAGCTGTCATCACAACGCTGTTTCGTGTGGATACTAGTTGGGACCACACACATGGCTTGGACTTCCAGAATAAAAATGCACTACTGGGATTTCCCGAATTGATTTCCGCTACCTTGAATCTTCCCCTCTCCAAGGTGTGGACCATCCTGTACACTACCCTGGGCATCTACGGCTTGCTGGTTGTGGCTGACGTTGTGTTGGGCTTCACAAGTTCCAGCAGCAACAACAACAACAAACGCACACATCCATGGCCGACGGCCTGGAAGACGGACAATACCCTGTGCTACCACGACATGTTTGCAGAACCAACTCGGTTTGGACGACTGTTGAGACGACCTGGCAATACACTCTCCAATGGTACCTACTTGTTGGCATCCTTGTGCGTTCTTTGGTCGAGTCTCTTTCACCGCCAGAGTGTCTTTTGGATGTCGGACATCCTCTATGGAATCATGCTGTTTCTGCTCGCTGTCTTTTCCAATTTGTGGCATGCATCCAATGCTCCCTGGAGCCAATATCCTGACCTTTGGTCCATGGATAGCTGCATTTCTTATCTGATTATCCGCTGTGTCTGCTTTGGTGTCATGTGTCAATTGCGAAAGGTATTATTGTACAATCAATCAGAAACGATTGCTGCTGTGACATGTTTGCTGATTTACATGGTCGTCATTGCGGCACTCGCCAAGTACAATTACGGATTCTTTCAAAAAGGATGGCTGGATGGGCATTGTCCCTTTTCAGCACGAATGCTGTTGATGGGAAAGGGAGATTGGTTTGGTGCTGGGCAGAGGGATTGTCACGTGGTTTGGGTGTGTGCCTTTGCCACCTTGCCCGTCTTCTATACGGCCCTTCCCACTTTGATCAATGTGATGTTGGCTACTTCAACAGGATCGGTGACAGCTGCCAATTGGGCCTTTCGATGTTTGGTCATCGGATGGACCTATCGAATGTGGGAACGATTTGTGATGGATGGTTGCGTCTTGATGAACTGGTTTCTTGTTGTCCCACAACCCAAAGGCAATCATAATGATTGCAGCAGCAAACCTAATGTGCTGCTGACAATTGGAGCTGCCATTTGTTCGCCCACAGCAGTCATGCATTTCTTCACCGGCCTCACACTCTTGACAGGATACATGCATGCCCGTTCCTGTGAGTGAGCAAGTGATGGAGTGATTGAGTAAAAGAACGTTGCATAAAACACGAAGATTCTTCTTCATGTGCTGAAGTTTATAAGCAGATAGAGTACAGAGATAGTAGCTAGAACACTCATAACATAATGATGCATGGACCTTTGTACTGTTCTTCAAGATGGCATTACTATGGGTTAGAGAGGGAACTATGGAGAGGATGGGTTGCAGAGGGGGAGGGCAGGATGCACGAATGCGAGCCGAGCAATCGATCGAGTGAGCAGAGCAGCAGCAAGACCAAAGAGGGAGGGGATGCAAGGTGGGGAGGGGGGGGGGGGCTAGCGAAAGAGATCAAGGGCACCTTGGTCGTCCCAATGCTTGGATAGCTCGATAGCTGGAATACGAGAGCCTCTCAAACACATGGTAGCTGCGTGAGAGAGCGCTATGCTCAACCTTGCAGATATGAAAGAGGGGACCACAGAGTAGGGCTTGGACCACTTGTGAACTTGTGAGCCAGAAGCTGAGAGCCGTTGGAGAACAGCAGTCTATCCAGTTTGGGCATTTTAGTCACTGTTTCGGGGTAAGAATTCCGGTGGTTTCCGAAGCGCAGAATGACAAAAATGTAGCCTTAACCCTCCGTCAGAACCCACCCCAACTTCATTCTTCATTGTTTTCGTCAGCAGCCTGGTTTCCTGGTTCCATTGTTACTATTCTACTGTAGCCAGTATTTTCGTAACCTGACACTCTGACACCATGAGCAGTCGACGTTCGTCCGGGACATCGCCTCTGCTGCAACAAGGCAGTAGTACACTGAGCAGCCGATCGTCTTCGCCCGACGAGAATACTGTGTCGAACTATCTGTCTGCCAGTGACCTTCCTGTGGGCAAATTCAATGGGTACCAAATTTGGGATCGTGATCCCACCTCGGAAACTCTCAAGATTTTTTATACTGGTCTCACAGTCTTGGGTCTGCTGTACATGATCTTTTCAGCGGCTGTCATTACGACGCTGTTTCGTGTGGATACTAGTTGGGACCACACACATGGCTTGGACTTCCAGAATAAAAATGTGCTATTGGGCTTTCCGGAATTGATTTCCGCCACCTTGAATCTTCCCCTGGCCAAAGTTTGGACCATACTGTACACTACCCTGGGCGTCTATGGCTTGTTGGTTGTGGCCGACATTGTATTAGGCTTCACAAGTTCCAGCAGCAACAACAACAACAAACGCACACATCCATGGCCGACGGCCTGGAAGACGGACAATACCCTGTGCTACCACGACATGTTTGCAGAACCAACCCGGTTTGGACGGCTATTGAGACGACCCGGCAATACGCTCTCCAATGGTACCTACTTGTTGGCATCCTTGTGCGTTCTCTGGTCGAGTCTCTTTCACCGCCAGAGTGTCTTTTGGATGTCGGACATCCTCTACGGGATCATGCTATTTCTCCTCGCCGTCTTTTCCAATCTGTGGCACGCATCCAATGCACCCTGGAGTCAATATCCTGATCTTTGGTCCATGGATAGCTGCATTTGTTATCTCATTCTTCGTGATGCCTGCTTTGGTGCCATGTACCTATTGCAAAAGGTAATACCGGACTATCAACCGCAAACGATTGCTGCCGTGGCGTGTCTGCTGATTTACACTGGCGCCATTGCGGCACTCGCCAAGCACAATTACGGATTCTTTCAAAAAGGTTGGTTGCACGGGCATTGTCCATTTTCGGCTCGGGCACGGTTGACGGGCAAGGGAGATTTGTTTGGTGCCGGACAAAAGGATTTGCACGTGGTGACGGTGTGTGCCTTTGCCGCTTTGCCGGTGTACTACACGGCCCTTCCCACTTTGATCAATGTGACGTTGGCTCGTTCGACGGGATCGGTGACAGCCACCAATTGGGCCTTTCGATGCTTGGTCATCGGATGGACCTATCGGATGTGGGAACGATGGGTGATGGATGGTTGTGTCTTGATGAACTGGTTTCGTCCGCCGAAAGGCAATACGAATAATAGCAGCAGCAAACCCAATCTGTTGCAGACGATTGGTGCTGCCATTTGTTCTCCTACGGCAGTCATGCACTTTTTCACCGGGATCACACTCTTGACGGGGTACATGCATGCCCGGTCGTGTGAGTGAGTATGGATGTTGCATGAAAACGGAAGATTCTTCATGCATACAGTGTATGTGCTGAAGTTATAGTAGATAAAGTACACAGATAGTAGCTAGAACACTCACAACAGATTGCATGGGCCTTTGCAATATTGTTTTGTTCTGGCCAATTTGGGCATTTGTTCCACCACTTGCTGAGGCGCAAACTGGTTCACTGTGAATGGATATTATAGAACGATAACAAGCCTTTACATTGTGTCGCTCATGGCTGCTTCCGTTGGTGAATGTTAGTAAGGCAGATGGCGCATGCATTGATGTTTCTACAAGATGAGGGGGCTCTCTGAAGCAGGCACCAGGTTGTCAATAAACGAGAGCACTTCTGCCTCCTCCGTGGCATCTTGCGTCCATTCTTGAACCAATGGATGTGATGTCACCGTTTTAATGTATTGCTGAGACTCGGGAGAGATGTGCTCCACAATCCCGTAGGACACAAACCGAAGAGCGACCGGAATGAACATCAAATCGGCAATGCAAGGATCCTTGCCAAACAACCAGGGACCCTCCGCAGCAACGGAAAGACGACAAGTTTTCCAAATCTCATCCACACGGTCAATTTGTGTCTTGCAGAGTGCCGTGAGTTTGTTTTCCGTCATTAATTGTCGTCTCACCTTTAGGTTTTGGGGCAGCTCATCGCGAATAGCCAGGAAGCCAGAGTGCATTTCGTACGAAATGGATCGGGCCAGAGCCCTGGCAACCTTGTCTTGCGGCCATGCCACTGCCGTGGAAGGATGGGTCTCCAGGATGAATTCCATAATGGCAAGAGAATCCCACACGGACATTTCTTGATTTTGAACGACAGCAACCAAGACGGGGACTCGACCGGCGGGAGAGTGTTCCAACAACTTTCCCTTGTAGCCGGGGACAAAGAGCGGGATGCGGATCTCTTCAAAATCAACATCGGCAAGCTTGAGACACAGCCATGCCCGAAGCGACCACGACGAATAGTTCTTGTTGCCGATAATCAACTTGTATGGTGTCGTCATGGTGTCACTGGCAGAAAAACTGAAAGCAGGTCCAATCTCAAAAAGAAGGAAACAGAACAGCGACCCAATCAAAGGAAACCCAAAGACCAGTCTCTTCCGCAACATCCTCTTTCTATGATCCAAGCAGAACTGTGATTTTGATCTTCCAAGAGGCTTGTGATGGTTTCCAATGAGCAGGTTTGACATGATGGTTTACCCTGTACCGGTACTGTGTTGGCTGTCGTACCGGCAGCGCAGGTTTCAAAGAAAAATGAGGAGGAGTTCCGGAACCCGAAAGATCCAAAAACTAAAAAGAAGGCTTTTACACCGGAACCAGGCCTGATGGGACACCGTCTCCACAAATCCATGCAGGGCAAGAAAATGGAATGATCATGAAGACGAATACGGTTGACAGTGTGCGTTTGCTTAGTTCAGTTCTTTTAATTAACGCTCTATTGGTGTCATTTCCATTCAGTTTCAGGTTCGGTTGACGCTGCCGCCGAAGGCGACGTTTTGGTTGCGACTGTAGCATTTGGCTGATTCCACACTTGCATCTTGTTTTTCTTGTCTGACGCAAGTAAGTGTTGGCATCGGGGGCTCATCATTCGTATCATTTTAAAATGTATTGGCGGCGTCTGATCTTGGTTTCGCCCTGTCAATGAAAAACTAGGTTCCATCACGTGCAGATGATTGATGGCTTCATTTCAATTGGCATGATTCTTCTTGACAACATCATTTTCTGCATTTGGTACCGTATCCATGATCGTATTAAGGAGTTGGGAAAGAGGGCATTTGGAAACTACCCATGTCCACGCCACCCATGGTTGCTGCTGCCCCCGCTGCAATAGCCAAGAGGAGGACAGCTACTGCCGCCTGGTTCGAATCATCATCCGCAGAAGCAACAGAAGCTCCTCCCGAAAGAACTTTCAGAACGTTTTCGGCCGAGGTGGCACTGCAGCTGCTCAGTCCTTCGTCCGCCAGGACTTGGGTAACCGTGCCATTCTCCAGGACAAGGGCAAATCGCTTGGAACGGACTCCAACTCCAAAGCCCATATCTTCGCTCAAACCCAACATTCGCACCAAATCTCCGTCGCCATCCGACAAGATCTGAAGTGGAGAGTCCGAGTCGCCGACAACGCTCTTGGCCCACATGTCATTTACATACCGGTCGTTCGTTGTGAGCACGGCTACGGAATCGTATCCCAAGGAAGAGAATTGTGACATTTTCTCTACGTATCCGGGAAGATGCTGTTCTGTACAAGTAGGCGTGAAGGCTCCCGGCATGCCTGACAACAAAAGTGAAACGTACTGCGTTAGGTACCGGTGCCCCCCACGTAAGTGCACAAAGCAAACTGACTGGTATTTGACTTACCCACTAGAACGGCCTTGCCGTTTCCGACGGCATCGCGGATACTCATCGCTGCAGCATTGTCGTCTTCCTCTTCACTGGTGGTGCCACAGACAATCACATCGATGTCTGCAGGCAAGGCTTCTCCCACTCGAATGGTGGCAGCCTGATCAATCTCCTTCTTCTCGCGAGAACGACCAATGGCACCGTTGACGGTCGCATCCACAAAGAGCGACGTCTTGGAGCGGCCGAGTGCTCCCGCAGTGGTTGGACCAAAGGCAACCGCCTGTGGTGCTACGAGCAGCAGCAGAAGGGATCTCAGGACTCTCATCATTGTTACCGTTTGCCTATACCGGTACCTCAAGTTAGAAGCAGAACTAGGGGCTTGCTGAACGATGCAGATGTTGTGTGGATACATGAATGCTCGTCACAGAATCTGTGGAAAAGAGAAGCGAATTTGAGCAAGTATGGATGTGCTTTGGCTTGATTGGCTGAAAACAGGAAGTGTGGTATCTTTTGGCTCAACTAAAGTTGAGACGTGGATAGTATCTTTTGTTTTGGGTCGAGGACCCCTCATGGTACCGGTACATCAGGCTTGTTTGCTTTCAACAACAGCATCTGTATGTTTCGGATCTTCGTGCCCTTTCAGACGAAGAACCAGACTGCTTTGATGTTTGCGAGGACTAAGAAGCTGACGATGAAAGTATGGGAAGCATGTTGTTATTAAAAACGAACCGGTCCAACGCCGGGCCCGCTGGGCGACCGGAGGGAGGGAGGGCGCTGGGCGAATGCCCGAGCCCGACCGACCGGAGGCGCCCAAGGGAGGGAGGGCGGAGCCCGACCGACCCGGCGTGGTCGGCTTTGTTTCAATGGGAACGAAAACGGCTGGTCTGTATTTGCTGGCTTATTCATTTACACTGTAGTAACTACTAGGAACTTCAATTTTCTCGCACATTGTTGTTCTTCTCAACCGTTGAAACAACCGACCATGGTGTCTACTCGAGGGAAGTCCGGCACCATCAAGGCTAGAGGAAGGTCCCTTTGTTCGCAGATGGTTGCCATCCAACAAGATACAGAGGGTGGAGACTTGGTATTCACTCAAATCGCTGAGGAGGAGGAAGAAGAAGAGGAAGAAAGAAGTGAGAAAGAGACAGTTCGAGACAAACGATCTTCTTCTTTGTCCTATGAACAGCGACTGTCACACCCTGATGCTGCAGAGTTTGTAGTCAAGCACTTTGATGACTCTAGTAGCAGTGAAGAGAGTGATGATGAAGAGGACTCCAAATCAAGCAGAAGCAGTCGCACTCCACTCATGTCGCAGCAACTCACTCTTCATTCTTCCGACGAAGAACTCTCGCCAGAACTAATTCAACCCGCCGGCACTCTGACCAGGGCACAAGTAGTCAATCGTCAAGTGTCACAAGGAGAAGCTGTGGTGGTTGGTACCAGAAACTGTGAGCCTTTCCATCCTTCGAGACAGCTCTTGACTCAAGTGAAATTTGAGAATGATGAAGATTGGAAGAACACAGCAAATCGCCCAGAGCATGAATTTGAAGACGACACGTTCATGGCTCCTACTTCAACTCAACTTGCTGGAGCGGATCTTCTCCTTGGTCTTGCAGGTACATCAACAACAGCCCCTGCCCCGCCATCAAAGCAGAATGTCACTCGGAAAGAGAAACTTCAACTTGCAAATGAGATTCGAAAAGAAAAAGCCCGTGATGATGTCAAGGAAAATGGTTTTTCAGAGAGATTCCACGCGCAGGATATGGAATTGGGAGAAAATTCGGAAGATCCAAGTGCATTTGTCCATCCCACTACAGCGGCCACACTCCCCCCAGCCCCAAATGCATTCTCTGTCGCATACAACCCGTACAAAAAGACAGCTCCTCCAGTACAACCAGTACGTCAAATGGCTCCAAAAGACAGTGAAATTGCCGACAGAATTCTTCAACAAGCAGACCATGCATTCGCCAAGCTGCCAGCTGACAAAAGAAGCTGATCAAAGGAACCAAGCGAGGCAAGAACACCAAAGAGACTGAATTGCGAAAGCAATCGAATGAGAATCGCTTCTTTGAAGAACTCCGGACGCATGGTGGGGATGCATTTCAGGATCTCTTGGTAAAGGTTCCAGTCGCATACAACGGATACGCCACTGATGCAGAGTCCTTGGACTATCGGTTCTTCAATGTTCTTGGTAACACACGCGACAAAAAGGCTCATGCCATACTCAACCAAGTGTGCATAATCGTGGCGTTGAACTTGAAGAAGAAGTCAGGTAGAAACAACACGAAAGGTCAACCATTCCAGCCCAACTCCACGGAGCAATTCTTCCGAGGGACCTTCAATCGCTTGAAAAAGAAAGGAATCATGTTCGACTTTGACAAGGACTTCAATGAAGCGGGTCAATTCCACGGTGTCGTCAAGGAATGGTGGGCCGAGTACAGGAAGATCGACCCAAAGTTTGGCACCAATAGTGAGAAGAAAAGGATCAATGAAGATGTTTATGGACTTGTTTGTAAAGCGGTAAGAGATGGTGTGATTTCCATCAAGAATCGACAACATGTCTTTGAGGGAGTTCACTTCAACGGCGGTTTGTTCTTATGTTTCCGGGGAAAACAAGATCATGCGAATACTCGAAAAGACAATCTTCGTAGTGGAGTATATGAGGCTTCTGATCAACTTGAAGATGCCAGTGAAGAGGATGTTCCCGGAATACCATGGCGTGGATTCTTTCTTCCCTTCAACAAGACAGAACAGCTTGAGTTTGGAAACACCAGTCTTCCGCTGGAACCCGATAGAATCAAGACCATGCGTTCATATCAGAAAGAATATGATCCGGTCGAGTGGCATGATGTGTACGTAGAGCACATGCATCCAGATGCAGTAGGGTTTTACGCTTACCCATACACCGAAAAGGAGTCCAAGATAGAGAACGCAAGACTCCGGCAACGGGACATTGACTGGAACAGAGAACATCCCGAAAACCCGCGACCGGTGAAGGAGTATGACGTTTGGTACAAACCCAGCAATCCAGACATCTCTCAGCATACTGGAAATGTTGGTCGTAATCAGTACTCCAAGATCATTCAGAAGTTTTGTGACCGAATCGGGGTCCAAAACGCGGAAAGAGTAGCTTCCGGTCATGCACTGAGAGCCAAAGCTTGTACCATCATGAAGGGATTGGGTGTTGATCCACATGCTGTTGCTCGACACATGGGACACAAGAGTATTGATACGCAAAAACGCTGCGCTGAAACCACACTGGCCATGAAGTCCACCGTATTCAATGCTCTTGGACATGGAGGTACCCGTCGTGTATCGATCGATGACAATGACCGAAAGCCCGCTGCTCGAAAGGCATCACAGGTATTGGAAGTAGATATCACTCCGCCATCCAAGAAACCCCGTGTGAGTACTCTAAATACGGAAGAGAGAAAGGAGTTAGAGGAATATCGACGTAAACAAGATCCGGAACGACAAGAACTCGAACGACGACGCCATCAAAGAATGGAAAACAAGGAGAATCGACCTCCCCCTAATGCTCATCCGGCCCCGTCCCTTGCAGGTCTTCCGTACAATCCGTATGGGCTTCTCTATCCGTATGGGTATCCACCGTATCCACCACCCGGTGTGCCACCATACCATCCACCATTTCCCCCGGGTCAGATACCACCTCCACCACCACCACCACCACCACCACCACCACGGCAGCATGCATACCCGATGGTACCACCGCCACAACATGCAAACCCACAACAATCCACAGCAAATGGTGGTGTAGAACGTACCGGCAACAATCCTCATCATGGTGGCAACAATCCTCATCATGGTGGCTATCAAAATGGTTGGAATGGATATAATGGTGGTGGTTTCGCTCGGTAGATTCTGCTACTGGAATTGCATAGATTCGCTTTTCAGTTTTGTGGATTGGAGATTATGAGAGTAGAAGTGAGGAATGAAATGGAGTAGCTCCGGTCGATCAGTCAATTTCAGCCTTCTCATTTGTGTCATCGACGTTCCTCCTCTCTTAAGCTTCCGTTAGCTAAGAACCCCAAATGCAAGCAACAATAGTGGAATATCAAATTCTGAAACAGCTCTATGTTATGAGTTTCGTACTATAAATTGATAAACCATATTTGTTGCTGAAAGATACGGTTTATGGAGAGATTTTCTACGATTGAATTCAACGCTTTAAAATCGATGCACATCACTTACTCGGAACGATTCGGAACGACTGGTATTTTCCAACATTCCACAAACTTGCTGCGATCAAATTATAGTGGGTTGCTGCATTGAAATAGTATGACAATGAGCACCCTTCTAAAATTGACACGCAACAAGTTTGTATCGTACTTGATTTGTTGTTGACTCCTACTCAGTGTTATGTACTAGCGAAAATTTTGACACATGGTCGCTGAAATTTTTCAACCGTTTTTTTGATGACGTGACATTTTTTCATGACGTGGCGTTAACGGTCGGTCTGTATTTCGCACCGGTCTGACCAGCCGTTACAAATACAGACCTGCTGGTTCGTTCTGATGCCAACAAGACTGTTCTGCTGGGTTACTCGGCATTTTGTCTGTTTGGGAAAGTGTTTTGGCGATTAAGTGTAAATGTCTACACACAGTTAGTAGACATAAGTAGACATTGTGCGACATTAGGAGACATTAGTAGACAAAGTGATACATTAGTAGACATTGGTAGACAAAGTGAGACATTGTGAGACATTGTGAGACATTGGTAGACAAAGTGAGACATTTTTGTACTGTTTTACTGTACTGTGTAGACAAAGTGAGACATTGGTAGACATTAGTAGACAATTGTGAGACATTGTGAGACATTAGTAGACATTGTGAGACATAAGCCACTTTTACAAAGGAGCATAGAACATTTAGGAAACTCTGTAATCAGATACAATAATAGCCTTAAATAGACAAAATGCCGAGTAACCCTGGAGAATGCCAAGGGAGCCCGGATTGCATCGAAGCAACCTGTTAGATCCAAACGACCGAGCCTTCAGAAGTAACGAGGAGGATGAAGATATAGATGAGCAAGAATAATGACAGTTTGCTGGAGAGTTGCTCCACTTTCGACGGATGCGCGGCTGGCTAGACAGAGTGTGTGCTGTAGCGCCCGTGTGGATGGGGGTGTCTGTCTAACGATTAGTTGAACACCTACTTATAGAGAACAGACCTTAGGAAACCCAGACCACCAATTTTCTTGTGATTGTTCGTGAAACCATAGATGAAGGGAAAGTCGTAGAAAATAAATATGAATGTATGGAAGTCGCCTACAATCGAATGGGAGTTAGTTTGTGCATTGCTCGACATTGTGCTTCTTTCGTGCAAGCTGGCATGGTGCTCATTTGAACGCCTCCATGGTGCTCATTTGTGCCTGTTCGTAGTGTAGTGTGCATTTGTTGTCACATGAGTGCCTCCATTCCAGCATTATTCTTTCTTTGGCGGGTTGAGTCTTCGTTCTAGTGAGAGCATGGTTCGCGTCTGTTCTGCGCATTGATGTGCAGGAGAGCTCCAGGCAAAGGTTCGGTTCTACTACAGGTACCGTGGCAACAAATCATCGTCTACCCATATCGCTGGCCGCGAGGGTATCGGCCAGACGGATCTCGAAGCGATAACCGTTCTCGACTCGGTGATGACGGTTCACGAACCATCACAGCTTCCACCATTGGAATCAGTTCCTCGTTTTCGAACTCTTCTTCCGTTATGGTGCTTACGTGAGGCGGAGCCAGCGGATCGATGTAGACTTCGTCTGGTTCCGGACCAACTGCAGGTCCCTTCAAATAAACCATGCTCTCAGACATCCACCCACGATTGTCCGGGTGATGGGAGAGGCTGCTCGTTGGTGGCTCTGGAGCTAGAGTTAAACTGGTGCCCGCTGTTCGGGGATGGTGTGGCTGTTGACTTGGCTGGGACAGAGTCGCAGAGGTGGATCGGGGAGGCGTGTGCGGGTGAGATTGCGGACTTTGCTGAGAGTGCACAGCAGGTCCCTTCCAATAAGCCATGGTATCGGACATCCACACATTATTGTCCCTCCCATCATCCACAGAGCCTGGCCTGCTCACTGGTGGCTCCGGAGCTTGAGTCAAACTGGCGGCCACAGGGGCAGGAGGGGTGAACTGGTGTGGTTGTGCAAATGGCTGAGACGGGGTTGTAGGGGCTACGGAATTTTGATGATATGACAACACGCTCGTTGGATCATGCTGTGAGGGCGTTTCAGGCTTTCCTTCCGGTCGGCGCCCGGACTTGAAAAAGTAGAGTTTGTAGAGTGCGGCCGCTATCAATAGCAAAACAATCGGGGACAGGGCTGCGATAAGCAAGATCATGGCTGTAGATGGTCCCCCATCTGAAGCCGGCGGGCTGGTAGACTCAAGGCCCTGTGGCGCTAAGGTAAGAGGTTCTGGGGGCGATGTAATGAGGACGGCTGTATCAACAATAGCGTCTGGCGGATCAGTTGAAGTTACTGGGGATGTAGTGTTTTTTGCAGAGTCTTCCGTCGCGCTGTCGTCTTGCTGGGGCGCTGCTATGGTGCCTGCAATGAGCGGCGCTCCTTGGGAATCCATCACTTCCTGTAAATCTCCTGCGTCGATGGCGTCCACGGTGGCCTTCCCATAAAGCTGTTCCGCCTCCGTTGCTGTGTCTGGAGCGCTGATCAACAGATTGTACTGCCCAAAGGCATCATGGCATATTAATTCGGGATGTGTTCCTTCACCGCACTCGTCCTTCAGAACGATGTCATAGATATACGCGCTGTCAGGCTCAAGCTCTACAAGTAGGCGCCGTCGCACTTTCAACGCCTCACGCAGAGACCGTTGATTGGCAGTGGCAGTTGCCGTAACGACCTCCTCGACGAAGGCGGGCCATGATGCGCCTAGGCCGCTGCTGTTGACCAAGCTCGGAGCTTCCATATTTTGCAGGTTGGAAACAGTAAACTTTGCGCGGACAGTCTGTCGAATTATACCGGTTGGGGCTGGAGGGAGGGTCTCTGGTGGACTAGTTCCGCTTGGAGTCGGGGTCTCAGGCGGAACTGTGTCAACCGCAGTTGGTGGATTTGGAGTCGGGGTCTCCGGCGGAACTGTGTCCGGGGCTATTGGTGGATTTGTGTAGCGTACCGGAAGAGGGTCAACTTCACCGATCCACGCCGTGCCCTTCCAACCCAACTGGGCATGGTCTACCAAAAGAGTCAGCGACTCTTCACGGCCATCCCAAGTGAAGTTCAGCCCCGTCCCGACCTGCAGATATGCAGCCGTGTCAGACGACACATTCAAGGCACCCACAGTGTTTCCTTGGACGTTGTTTACTTCCAGCATGAACTGCCCCTTTGCGTCTGCAAACAATTGTTCTTCCCATTGGACCATGAGTTGCCTGCATTCGGAAGCCAAAAGATTCAAAGCATCGTCCATATCAAATCCTAGGTCGACGTTCACTTGCAGCCTGGCTGCAGGAGACGAGGAAAGAGCAAAAGTGCCATCAGCATCAGACCCCCAGCCCAAGTTGAGAGCGTATTGACCCGTAATTTCTGCATAGTTCTGACCCTCCCAGCGAAGAAGAAGCTGCTGGACGTTCCCAATGTATGTATCCTTGCGGTTTTCGTATGCATGTGCAAAACTCATGTCAACTCCAACCAGGATGGTGGCGGTCGGATTTGACGTGACTCTCAAGTTTCCTTGATTGTTGTTGCTGTCATAACGAAGTGTTCCCCAAGCGATGTCCACATAAGTTATCCCAGCTTGCACAAATCGGGCATCCATAATGTCGACAAGCAAAGGCGACTCCACAAAGTTGGCCTTGACAGCGCAGTCAAAATCGAGTTTGGCTACATCTTGCATCGCCATTGAGAATTGCGTCCAGTCTGCATTAATTGACATGGCTCCATTAGCTTGCACGAGCATCGCTTCCCGATGCAGCAGATTCAGGTTGTTGACTGCAAGGGATAAATCCGAGTAGTCACTGGCAACAATATCGGTTGACAGCTGCAGCATTTGTGCCTCATCAATGGCCTCTGCTGTAATTGCCAGCTCTCTGTTGGCGGCTCGCACCATTCCTTGAAGAATCGTATTCCAAATGACCTTTCCGTTGAACTTGCACATGGAACTTGCCGCCAAGTCCTGCTGCTGCAATTGTCCATCTAGGGCAACCTGTAGCTTTTGATCCATGAGTTCCATGGACGCCATCCAGTCATCATAAGCGTTCACTTGAAGCTTTCCATCCACTACTGCATTCCAAATTGTGTCGCCTTTTACCACAAGAGAGCTGCTGCCCGAAACTGACTGTTCACCCATTATCCAACCTCCGGCATCAAACTGGACTTGGGTGTCTGCGACAGTGCTCTCAAAAGTTTGCTGATCAATATCGAGAATAGCAGAACCAACCGCGTTGGTCAGCAGGTCTTGTTCTCCGACAAGCTGGACTTGTCCGTTGCTCATGCTCATTCGGAGCACGTTTCCGGCATAGTACCCATTCCAGTTGAGCGACACTACAAAGGGCCACCAGGACCCGTCGTTGACAAAGTCAGCATCAAGCTGAAGATTGGTGTCATCTCTGATATCGAACAAGAAGGTTCCTTGCAAGTTGATTGTATCATTGTCGCTGTTCAGCGCAATTCTCGCCTTTGTTTCCACTTGAACTCGTTCCCAGCTGATGCTTTCCCACGTTGAACTGGCATGGGCTCCCCCGATGTAATCATAAACCTCGACCTTACTGACCAGAGACATTCCTTTGGATGGCTCAAGGAGAAAGCACAAGTCATATTGAAAGGCGGAACTGTCATTGTCGCTTGTGAGGGCCATGCACTCGGCTAAATCATCTGAATCTGGAACGGGGGTGGAAGACGGTGTTGGCCGTGACGTCGGGGAAGGTGTCATTGGCGTCGGCGAGTTCGATGGGGGTGGCGTTGGAAGTGGAGTGGGTGGAGGAGTTGGGAGTGATGTTGGGAGTGGTGTTGGAAGTGGAGTGGGTGGAGGAGTTGGGAGTGGTGTGGGTGGAGGGGTTGGAGGTGGTGTTGGTGTGTACGTGGGAAACTCCATGTGCGATGGCATTGGTGTAGGAATGTCCCATGGCATGTACGTCGGCACGTACGAGGGCGTTGGCGTCGGCAGGTTCGTGGGCGTTGGCGTCGGCAGGTTCGTGGGCCTTGGTGTTCGCGTGATGTTCGGGGATGAAGGATTCTCCGTGCATGACAAATTATAAGTAATAGAAGTCGCATTGAAAGAGGCAGGAATAGGAGCGCAGGGAAAAGGTGGAATGGGTGGAATGTAGGGTGGAAGGGAAATATTTGCAAGCTGCAGGAATCGCGAGGGAATTGTTGGGAGTGGCTTTTTTTCAAAATCCACCGAGAATTGATGCTGACTCCCCAACGTTGCCTCAAGGAAGGATGCTTTGGAAGTTCGGATTGAGAGCAAAATCGTACTGGCACGATGGAAATACAGATCAATCAACGGCTGGAACCAAGGACAGTCCGGTGAGTTGCAGGTGATCGCCAGTGCGATTCCATCGCCTTGGGTCGAAAACATGTATTCGGTCTCCTCCATGTGAACCTTCCACCCAGAAACGTTATTGGGCTGGACAGTCGCGGTAAGTTCTGGAAGCACAATGGTTGCCGAGTCCGCAAATGCCGGTGTTGGGATTGACAGGCCAAGTTCCAATGCATCAAATCGCACAGGAGATGCTGTACTTTCGCCGGTGGCATTCACACCGGTTTCGGTGGAGATGACGCGGACCCGCATTTTTTCGCGCTCTGCTTGAGAATTCAAGAGTTTGTCTACCAACTCTTCGGATAGTTCCACTTTGCGAGTGATCGGAATAGGAATCAGATGAGCCAAGTGAACTTTGACCTTGAAGGAACACACGGCCGACTCCAAAATGGAAGATTTGTCCTGACGTGTCATTAACTTCCAGAGAATGTCTGCAAAGGGATCCACATCTTCTTCGTCTGGTGAGGCTACCAATCGGTAGAGATTGTCCTTCTTCTCCAGTCGTACGTCTATATCAATAACAGCAGTGATATTCTCCGTTTCGTCGTCTTGTGGATGTGGCTCTAGGGAGCAGTGCACTCCTCGAGGCTCAAGGCGGGAGAAGAAGCTCCCTTGTTTCAGATCTAGTTCCACAATAGCAAGCGGAACTGGCTCGGAGACGTCTACCTTGAGACTTTGGACGTGCAGCCTTGGATGAGGGGCCAAGGCGAGGTCCAGTATGAGCACCAACGCTAGGACAGCGAGGGTAATAAAGAACAAGGATACCTTCTTCTTCCGCAATGGCTTTACAAGATTCCTCGTCGCTTCTTCATTGAGTCTCCACATCTTGCCCCACTTTGATACTTACGATGTGTCTCTGTGCCGGTACGCTGTAGCTCCTTATAGCGATCGGTGATGAGCTGGCCATTAGCTAGCTTGACCTCTTGCCTCCTTCATTCCATTGGTCCCTCACAGTCGCAGCTTTGTTCTTCCTGTCTCTACAAAAAGTGTACTTTTTCTACTACTGTAGTACCACCGAGCCCAAAGAAACGTGAGGTACCGGTGTACCGGTACACTTACTTAACAGCACTTGAATACCGAAGTACAGGAGTTCTCTAAACGTCATGCTTATTTAACATCCACGTCAGAGATTCCATAATCCACGACAGAGATGCCTCATTTTTCTAGTCTCGATCTGCTCCATGCTCGGATGGTCGGTTTTCAAGGTGAGCTTCAAATAAATCAAAAAACTGCTCAGCCCGTCTCGAGGGAAAATACGATGTAAGGTAGTACTGCCCTTTCTGCCATGTCGGTTGTCCATTGTCCATTGTCCATCGAAGTCTTCGTGGCAAGTGGCAAGAGGAAGCAAACTCCATATCACTGTGCATCTACAGGTCACGGGTCAGCCGAGGTATCACTTCTCCGTAGGCTGTCAGATGGTCGGTACTGGAGTAGTCGCCATCTTTTGGGATCCTCGCCGTCGTGTTTCCGCCAAAGAGCCAACTACAGTCAGTAGAACTGTAGGCTGAGCTTAGAAATTGATCAGATCGTCTAGCTCAGCTCCACCCCGCTCACAGACCAACTTTGCAACCACACCGCTTTCAAACTCAAATTTCATCCAGCAATTAGAAAAACTACTCCTCTTTCTTTTGTTTTATGCACATCCGAGGCGGCTCGCCTCGTGGACAGATACCGTTTGCGAAAGGATCGAAAGGGCCATTCAATGGTGCAAGAGAGAATGACTGAAAACAACCCAGGCTAGCACCCATGTCTTGAGAAAGGACGTCACTATGAAGACAAGATTGTATTCGTCGCAGACATTGTATCCCTCTTGAAGCTGCTTGAGCCAAGTAGACCGGTATCGAAGTAGAATTTGAACTCAAATGAAGGAGCAACTCCCTATCATGCAAGCGCCTTTCCCTTACCCAAACGCCACATGGAGACTTTCAAGGTCGAGGTAGAACGCCTCTGCAAACCAGGAAAACTCAAGAAGCTGCACCTACTTTCGTGATACCAAAGAAAGACGGATCAGTACGATTGCCTTCACCCACAAGCGGGTTTGGGTCCCTTGGAGGCGGACTTGGCGGTGGTAGTGACTCTGGCTCTGCCTCCACCATGGAACCCTCTCCTAGACTGGAGCCAACACCACCACCTGCTTCAATGCCATCGCCACCAAGAATGCATGAGACGCCACAGCCACCATGGCTCGATCTATGACGGAACCACCCAAGGCATCGGAAGTACTTGCACAATCGTACAATGTGCCCGACAACACTAGCTGGAGAAACTCAAAACTGTGTTGCAAAAGCTACAGGCAGAAAACATATCGCTGAAGGCACAGCTGGAGACAATTTGGGAAGAAGAGAAAGAGGTGCAACGCCACATAAACGCCACTGATGCTGAAATTGGCGGTCTCTCGAATCGTTGACCGCGCTGAGAGCTCAGGTTCTGGCTCCCCTTATGTGACGACCCGATGTTGTGCTTTGCTAGTTTGCTTCTGAAGACGCACTCATCTAATCTTTCGTGCCAAGGCAAAGCTGTTGCTGATAAAAGTCCGGTGGAAATATCTGCATTCAAGAGAGCAAACTGTGTTCATTGTGTTCAGTGTTAGAGATCATCTGAAAGTGTTGGGCAGGATTCGAATTTTCAACTATCTAGCCATTCATTGCAAGGGTTTTTTAGTCAATCCCTCTTTCCCCTGCTTTTCTCCTCATGATATCCCTTGATATCGTCCAAATGGTCACTGCCAATATCAACAAAGGGCCTTCCGCTTCGTACTGTCTTGACGGCCTCTTCGACACTCTTTTCTCTTCCGCTGTAGACGAGATAGTGGACAATCATGGCAGGTGATCGAGATCCTCCAGCAGCGCAGTGCACAAAAAGGCGATTTTTCGGGTCTTTCAATACCTTGTCCATAAACTCCAAACCCGGCGGTGCCACCTTCAACAACGTCTTGTCCGATCCCAGAAAGTCGCTGGCCTCCAATTGCAGCAACTCGGGTTTGACTTGCAAGGGATCGTTCTTTTTGTGCTCATCGTGCAATTCCAAAATGTGCGTGATTCGAAATTCTTCCAGGAGCTCGGGTGCTTGAGCGGCCGCCATGTTGCCGAGATAGAGCTGTTGTGGTAAAATCTCATTGATGGATGGAAGCACCAGAATATAGACAATGGCTCCAATTTGTGGGATCCACCAGAGCAACACCAATTCTGGGATGCGAAAATACCAGAGGGTAGCAGAGGCGGAGGTTCCCGACCAAATCAAGCCATAGAGCAGAAACGCCACGAAAACAGCTACATAGACCATGTTTGACATGAAATTATAGACTTTGACTTGGTGATTGCCCAGTAGTCCGACAAGATATAGACAAAGAAAGGAAATCATCTGGACACCCAAGACAGCAGCAATGACGTTGTCTCGAGCTGTGGCAAGAAGGAAAGCTCCTACCCATGCGATGTTTAGGTAGGGTATGAACCATTGGATACGTTGCAGTGGTACAGAGCTGAGAGGCATGGTTTTTGTTTTATGGTTTTCTCTGTTCTCGCAGAGGACAGCCGGCCTACCGGTACCGGTACTGGTACGTGCATGATCATAGGCTAATACATGGGTGCCCTCAACTTGAATGTTTCTAAAAGCCAAGGTTGCAAGGGTTCTGCTCTGCTTTTACCTGGTAGCCTTAACCTTGCAAGGGCAACTGCCGGCGGTAGCGGTCTTGCGGCATCACCCGAGTACAGTAACACCACTTTGCTTGCGGCATCACCCGAGTAACACCACCACTCCATAGTAAACCCGATTGTCCCAGTAACACCACCACCAGGTAGCACCACATCCATGAAGGGCAACATGAATATGTCAACGCGGTTGTCACCCATATTTCTTCATAAGGGGGTTTAGAGTAGGTATATTATCTGCGGAAGCCAGTGAGGGCCAGGCTTGAGCAAACAAGAGTGGAAATTCAGGACAAGGTTCCGTGGGATCAGGGGCGATAAATTTCTTCATTTTCGATGAATTGTACAAACGCAACGACAAACACCACAAACGCAACGATGGCGAACGAAGCTCCGTCAAACAGCGCTCCAATTGGTGGACGCCCCAAGGACGACTGCAGTCCCCAACAAAACCAATCACCACCAATGATGCTAGGAGATTCATCCGACGGCGTCGATGGCAAGTTAAAAAGCAACGATACTAGTCATGATGCATTTATCAAGGAACAAGAACGAAATGGCCGAATGAATCCTGCTATCGCATTGGCATTAAACAACACCTCTTCTGGCGAGTTGGATACCTCACCAAGAGGCATAAAGTCTGGTAACAAGAAGGTGCGGATGACTGTTTCTCCAGCAAGAAAGCAGAAGACTGAGATTAAAAATGCCCCCAAAAACAACGCTACAACTGATGATAGGCAGCAACAACAGACGAGTAGAACTGGTAATGATTGGATGAAGGAAATTAAAGAACAAGAGAGAATAGCGCAAGAGAGTCCCGCAATAGCATTGGCGCTGAACAACAACACCTCACATGGCTCACTGCCACCTCCAGCAGCAGCAGCAGCCAGAAGTCAGCGCACAACACGAACATCCACTCCAGCCACCCAAACTGTCGCTGGGAGTGGGTCTACTGGACAGAAGAAAACTGGAGCCCAAAAGGAGACACCTCCAACATTTCAACAACCTACTAGACCAGACCTAGAGAAACTGGGGACCACTATGAAGTCTGTGCCTATTGCACCCTCGGCAATGCCAGCCGCCCAGTTTGAAAATTTCCAAAGCGGTGACCAGCTTTCATTTTTGCCCAAGAAATCATCCAAACCCAATAGTAGTGTTACACCACCGACATTTCAACAACCTAATGGAACATTCCCAGAGAAAATGGAAGAGGGAGAATCTTATTTAGGCGACAGCTCAGAGGACCTGATGAAAGCCACAGTCATGTGGTCAAGGCAGCGGGATCCTGTCTCAGACCTAGGCATCATCACACATAATGCTGCTGCTCCAAACAGTGAGATTATTCCAACCAGCGACACTGCAAACAGGACGGTGTTCAGAGAGGAAGAGGGTGGAAGCCTCATGGACAGCCGACGAGCCAAAAAGCGGATTTCTGGTCCTGTCCAGCCTGGAGCATTTGGAGCAGCTCCAGGAATGCAACCAACCCGAGTTGCATCCATTAGATATTGCAATCTGACCCAGCCAGGGCCAGATGATGCCCACCACAATCCCCACCACAGCCATCCAAATGTGTCCGTGGATACCACTCATGATCCAACAACCCTCCCTGTCGTGATAGATGTAGAAACAAGAACAGCCTACAGCATGGGATTGGTTGAAGCCACAGCTGTCATTGGCGAATCCACCGACATCATTTTGGGCCAAGCTGACAGTTACCATGGCCCCACGGCAGATGAAGCGCAGCAAAACAGAGATCAGAAGAAGCGCTACTACAAGGGCACTATTTTTTGTCTGGCGGTTGTGCCAATTATTATTGTTCTCATTCTGCTGCTGTCTGGAGTTTTTGAGAAGGCTCCCAAACTTTCTGTTGTGATCTCTACAGAAGCACCATCCAATGCTCCATCTGGAAGCCCAACAGTAGCACCTACTCCATTCATTGTTCCACTGCCAGAGTACACTGTCAACACACTGCAAAATGGTCCTTTGGATTCTCCTCAAGAAAGAGCCTACAGATGGATCCGAGATGATCCCAACTCTGAAGAGTATTCTGATGCGCGAAAGCAACAACGGTTTGCCCTGGCCACATTCTACTATGCATCAAATGGTGACAAAGGAATGTGGACACGTCAGGATGATTGGATGTCCTATGATGTCCACGAGTGTGAATGGTTTAGCAGATGGATCCGTCTAGGACCAGACTTTCCTGAAATCTGTGATGAAGAAGGCAATTATCAGGCGTTGATCCTGACGCGGAATGGGCTTTCAGGGAGCCTTCCACAAGAACTGGTCCTGCTGACAAAGCTGGAAGTTTTTGATGTTGCCACAAATGAGATCAGGGGGACAATCCCAAGTCACATTGGTCTGATGACTTCTCTTTATGAGCTTATCCTTGACATCAATAAGCTCACTGGGGAAGCGCCATCTGAGATTGGACAGTTGACTCGTTTGGAGTGTTTCTTTGTGCACACAAACCCACTGACTGGCACGATCATGACAGAAGTTGGCCTCTTGACTAACATGATCGATTTTGAATGGGCAGACACCTCAATGAGTGGGACTGTTCCTTCTGAGATGGGCCGATTGAGTCTTTTGGAATTTCTCTACCTTCATACCAACTCGGCAATGACTGGCACAATCATGACTGAAATTGGCCTTTTGACCAAGATGGTAGACTTTCAATGGGCAGTAACAATGACAAAAGGAACAATCCCAACGGAGGTTGGGTTGATGACCCAGATGACCGCCTTGTGGTTGGATGAAAATCTGCTAGAAGGGCCACTCCCGTCAGAGCTTGGCTTGTTGTCAAATCTGTCACTTGTTCTATCATTGTATACCCAGTTCTTGACAGGTACCATCCCTACCGAGATTGGCAGGTTGACAGGTCTGGAGTCCTTGTACCTTGATGCGAATTCTCTCTCAGGAATAATTCCAAGTGAAGTAGGAAGTTGTGTCAAGGCAGAAGAAATCTTTCTAGAGGAAAATGATCTTCGGGGAACTATTCCATCTGAACTGGGAGGCTTGACTTTGTTGGAGTCCATTGTCCTTTCATCTACCAGCCTGTCAGGAAGTATCCCTTCTGAACTTGGTCGCTTGTCTTTACTGATTCAATTGAATCTTGATGGCACAAACCTCAGCGGCACTGTTCCTGCTGAGCTGGGCAATGTGGGCTTCAATCGTGGCATAGAAAGCCTCAAGCTGAATGACACACTTCTTACAGGTGAAGTTCCTGCTGATCTTTGTGATATTCCTGAAGTGAGCTTTGATTGCTCGGATCATCTTTGTGGTTGTGATTGTGTATGTCAATTTGTGGCTCAAGGAAGTGTAGAGTCCTCCGGTAGGCCCAGGGCTTCCAGGGAATATGACATATTTGATAATCCTTAAAGATTGTTGCTTGCTGCAAGTTTGCTTCTTGGTTTTGCTTCATTATAGTTCTAATTTCTTATGTTTCCTGTGGTTGCAGGCGTTGCCTATGATACATGTACCAGCATACTCACCATAGTGTCAACTCGTCCTTTTGTGCCAAAAGAACCACTACGATGTCTGGGGTTTGTTCTACGCCCGTGTATTCCCTCTTTCTTAGTTGTTGTCCAACTCTCTGTACTCTGTACCGTACCTGAGACAAACCCAAGCACAAACCTGTGGGAAGTGTCCCTGTGGAGCTGGGAGCTTTGGCAGTAGCTACCTGGCACTGTATCGGTAGACAAGACGAGGGGGGGGGGGGGGGATGTGTCGCTGCCCACACCTACTGGTACCCGACGGTACTGAAATCTGAAACACTTGTCCGTCGTGTTGACCGTCGCCCAAAATACAGCACAGCCATAGCTTCGTACAGTACCTTCTAGAGAACCGCGCCGACTTTGACTGTCACTCCGATTGAATGGTTTATCTGCTTATTTTGAAATGCAACATGCACACTGCCCCGCACCGCCATTCGCAATCATTCTTCACACGAACCAAACGCGAAACGAACTTTTCCAGTTTTGGACATGACGTCTTTCGACTCTCGTGAGACAGCAAACATCATTCTCAGTTCTATCAGACTGCAATAAAAACGGAGCAACGAAACCTTGGAAACTGATCGCGAGGGTGGGACGTTTGCGTTTGTCGAGTCTGGTGGAGGCGGATGGATCGGTGTGTGGCTGCACACGAAGAAACGACCGAGCGGCTCCCTTTGCTTTTGGGAGAGGCTCACAAATTCGAGAGTCGTCCTCCGAACAAAAGCGCATAATTTCGCGAAACCAAACAACCAACCAAACAATCACGCAAGTTACCAACACCACCACCATGTCTGTTGCAGAACCCTTTAGCATGGAAGACCTGTCGTCCATGTCCCACAAGGCTCTCCGTGAACACTGTCGCAACCTCCAGTTATCGGCAGACGGCACGAAGGAAGCCCTTCGGCGTCGTCTCAAGAGTTGGCAGCAAAGCAAAAACAAGAATCCTGCCGATGATTTGATCTGTCCGATTACACTGGAGTTGCCCGTGGACCCCGTGACGGCAGAAGACGGGTTTCTCTACGAGCGTGCTGCGATTGAGCAACACTGCAAATCGCGTGCCGGAATGGTACTGAAATCGCCCATGACCAATGAGCGCATGGGGGGACGACTACTTGCGGCTCCCAAGCTTCGTAGTTTGATTGAGACCTTGGTCGAGAAGGGCGCCATTGCGGGCGAATTCGCCGACAAGTATAGAGCCAAGAAGCAGGAAATCAAGGACAGGGCAGAACTCTTGAAAAAGGCAGAAAAGGGTGACGCGGAAGCCATGTATCGTGCTGGTGAATACTATCATCGCGGTGCCCACGGCTTTCCGGAGGACGACAATGTGGCATTGGCATGGTTCAAAAAGTCCCATCGTGCCGGCAACGTGAAAGGAACCGCCCTGACGGGAGACTATTTGCTGGAAGGATGGGCCGACGACAAGGACTACAAGAAGGGAATGTACATGAGCACCGTAGCGGCAGCACGTGGTTCCAACCTGGCTGCCTACAACCTAGGCATGGCGTTTGCCGATGGCGCCTACGGCATGTCCCGGGACGTGCCAGAAGCCATTTTTTGGTTGGAAAAGGCAGTTGGAAAATGTCCAGTGGATCATCTTGACGACAATCACAAGGAGAAGGCCCAAGAAAAGTTGGACGAACTCCAAAGAGTCAATAATAAACGAAGTCGGTCCGAGATGCCTGCCTTGGTTTCCCGATCGTAAGGCAAAAAGACAACGGATCCTTCTACTACTGTTGTACGGCATCAAGGTTGCTTTTCTAAATAATATAGGACATATCAAATTCCCATACTATACTACTACGCTGTTTTACTAAGCAATCTCCTCGCCCTTTGTTGATTTGCAGGATGGCTACGAATCCATCGTTAGGGCGCTGCACTGCCGCAACCAGCTGGACAATCTAGTGCTTTCCAAATACGCGATGCCGAGCCATCCCCATAGCCAGGGCAACAATGCCCTTCAGTTGGTTTTCTGTTTCTGTTCATGTTTTCTGTATTTCCCCAGCAGGTGTGTTTTTGTCAGTCGTTGATTGATTGGTTGACAGAAGATCAGTCAGTGGTTCCTTTTATGCGTTTGTTGTAGCTTTTTCCTCCAACTGCGCAATACCCGCCTCCAGCCAAGACGCTTGTGAGGACGACGAATGATAGTGAAGCGCGGCATCCCCGTCATCGTCCACTTCCAATTCAAATCCACATGCTTGTAGTAACTGCATGGCGGCATCTTTACCGACGGCAAAAACCCGTTTGTGTACTTGTGCATTGTTGATTCGAATTTTGCACTTTTTGCGATCGTCCGTGTCATCGGCTGCCATGGCATTGCGAATCAACGTGGCCAATGTGCGCAAGCAGAGTGAGAGTTGCGCACCGGAAGAAGCAGGCGATTGCGCCAAGAGCACTGCCAATGGTTGTTGAAAGGACTCGGGTGGTGCTGCTGTCGCGCTGTCGATGGTGTCGTCACTACTACTGG